ACAACAACAAACATGATTAAGCAAAACCATGAGTAAGCATTGTTGTTTTATGAATGAAGGATATGCTTAATGCTTACATATCTGATTGAGGCCAAAGCATTTGCAACAGTATTAACATCAGTCACTTCGGGCATTGGGATGAGCTTATCCGTATTTCTGTATTCTGTAAGTTTCTTCATTCACAAGTTGTGTTACACGAGTTTTGTTTTCAGTGTACCTGCATAGAGTTTTAGTTGTTTTTTTAATATCAATGTATTTAAATTGGTTATTTGTATTTTAGTAAATAAAATTTAGTCTATAGCAAGTTTACCATTGCTTTAATTCAGCAGCTGCAAGCATTGGTGGATTAACCATCAAGCAAGTCCCACCTTTTGTAGACAATGACAAACCTTTACAGGAGAAAAATTAAAAAAGAAAGTGTGATGGTTTGTTAATTTAAGTAATTAGTGATTTGTGAAGTAATGATGACTGGTAAGATTTACCGTTAAATGTGACAACCCTAACTCGCATAGCAAGAAGAATGTTTCCAGTTGCTACCGTATTAGCCAAGTGTTCACCTTGATCCTCTTCAAATTGATTCCATAGTGTTAAGAGCATTGGCTTTTATCTGTACAATTAGAAAAAATAAATAAAGAGCTATAGAATATAGTTGATTTATTTAAAAAAGACTTCTTACTCTTGATTTACAATGACCAAGTCCCTTGTTTTGTTATTTTTACCAAGAGTCCTCACTGGAAAAGCATGGACTACAACCGCCAAAAGGTCTAACACAATATAATTGTGTTAGAACAAAAATTTAAGAAGAAAAACTAAAAGGCAAGGCAGATTATATTATGCGTTGTTTATTCGATGATTGCGTAACAGTAATTGCATAATAAGTTGGATGTTTGTGCATAATAAACTTACTTCTTGGGTTATCTGTGTCAGCATACTTGTGTATGTTTGCAAAGGCATGGACATCAATTAGGCATGGCAGCTGTGGAGGTATGGCTTCTTGGTATTCTTCGGCGTAAGTTCTTGTATTTATAAGCCAATTGTACTTGTAATCACCAACTTGATACAAAGGAACCTCGGGGCGTACCTTTGCTCCAGTGAGGTAGTACCTTTTGTATGGCATAAGAAGTTCAGCAAATTCGTCGATAACAGCGTTATAAGCCACCGCAGAAACCTTTGTCCCCTGCATTCAATATTAATGACCAGTCCTTATTTTTTAGATTTTCTATTCATGTATTTGAATATGTAAACAGTGAAAAAAAGTCATATGTTTATACCTCCTCATCGGTGAACAAATATCTGCGGTAAAGCATAGAGGAATCATTTTTGCTTGTTTGGACAGGTGGCCATTCGACAACCTGAATGAGTGCAGTCCAATTTTTTGTTTCATTTGTAATTTGACTAATTGGCAGGTATGGTCGTGACATGATGATCTGCATATAATAGTAAAAACTGTGAGAAGCACACGAAGGTATATAAAAAATAGTTGTGATGCTTATGAATTAGACTAATCAATAATAAGCAAATTGAGTATGTTTTGAGCCAAAAAAGAATATATAGTAAAGTACGTTGTGTAACCGCAGCGACTTCAAGAACTTCATGGTATACTATGTTTTTTGTGACATCAATGCGTTCTGGATCAAAGAATGGTGGCTTTATCACAAACTTAATTGCCGTAGATTGTTATTATCTAACATTTGTCCTCAAACCTTAACTTTAACGTTATTATCTCGTCTTTGATATTTTGGATATGAATTACTTATTTGAACAGTACGATCAGAAAATGGTTTTGGATAATTAAATTTGCATTTTTTTTTACTTGTCATACATGAATTATTTTCATTTAATTCTCCACATGGGCCATGCATCATGCGTTTCTTTACCATATTGTATAAATGAGGTTGTGTTGTTTTATTTGGTATTTCAGCAGCCACAACTTTGTCAAATTCTTCAGGGCTATATAATTTATTTGCTTTTGCAAGTATAATAAGCATGTGAGCATGTGGAAGTCCTCTTTTTTGAAACTCTATAACATATGTGTATGCCACTACTTCTCCAAAGAGATTTTTTTTAAGGATATCCTTTTTTAAATCCTCGAGTTTAGCACGGAAAACTCTTGATATTAAATCAGGTCTATTATGTGCTTCTTCGTTTTCAATCAAAACTTCTTTTATTTCAGGCCACTTGAAATTGCATGTCATAGTTAAAAAAATATCGGGCTTACCAAACCTTTGCACCAATGTCATTGCATCTAAGTATCTATTTTTCATGTTTCTTAGACCTCCAATAAAAGTGGCAGACAAAAAAATTCTTTGGCCTATTTTTGATGCATTTATTTCACCTGCTGCTAAACTATCTTGTATTCCCTGTAGAAATTCTTGCCTTATCTCATTTTGCTGAAACTTAAAGAAGTCTAGTCTTTGAGACTCAATTTTGACATACACATCAACTATATATTGCTGAAATAATCTACCAAAATTTAATAAATAGGACCTGTCATCTTGTCTTATCTGCAATTTATAAGCATAATAGTCTCTCATGGAAATAAAATTTCTATTGGCCCTTGTCTTAGTGGGCTGAAAAGTAAATTGTTATATATGTTAGTACTATTTAGAAAAACAAAATATTGAAAGAACTTATTGAAAAGATAATGTAGCTTTAAACTATTTTATACTGTTACTTACCATCCTCTGCTTCGATTAACTCTTCGGCAGATTCTAGGTTTGAAGGCAAAATCATGTTAAATGATTGCGCGATTGTTGAAGAATTTTGGGAAACAATAGTTTCCAATTTTTCTAGACCTTGATGCCATCCAAGTTCACCAAAAGAAAAAAGTAAAGGGTATTGAAGTGGATCATAACAACCATAGTAATATTGTATTCTATGTGAAATGCCGCTATGGCTATATATCCAAATGTTTCTTTCAGATGGTTCTTCACTGTCATCACTATCAACCCATAAAGCTGCTACTTGAGACGATTCTGGTTTATTGTAAACTCTTTGGTCAATTTTTGGATGAGTACGCAATATTATTTTATAATCATCAAAATTGGACAGTTCGCTAAGACTTCTAAAAAATTTTGCATAAGGATTTTCCTTTAGTACATTCATGATTTTTTGTATTATTGGTTCTGTTAATCTAGGGCAAGCCTTCATCCGATTAGCAATCTCATTTTCAGTATCATGGAAATATAGCTATAAATTTTGAGAGGCTTCCAAATCATTCAAAAAATGATACATCTGCCCTTGTATTCTGAAAGTATAAATCCCTTTATCACGACGGACCAAATTGTTATCACATTTTACTCCCAATGATGTAAATGCAAATTGGTTATTTATAGTTCGTATGCAATCTCGAAACAATTTGGATTCTTCAGTTGTTGAGAAAAGGAGTGTTTTCAAAATTTCTGGCAATGGATTATGTGCTAATTTTATATTACCATCTGAGCAACAAAACTTACTTGACTCGTACGAAAACTTAACAGCATTGCAGTATCGACAATTTTTTCGTTTAGAAAGTATAAAAGGCTCACCTGCAATGTTATCCAAAAGGTTATGTTGTGGTGGTTGAAGGTTACCTAACACAAATACAGGTGACAGTCATGGTTGATCAGGTAATCTTAATTATTTCCCACTAAAACTTAATATATATATCTTTTTTTTTTGCTAGACTTTACCTGTTGAGCTTGATCTATTAATTGTAAGGGACCTGTTGTTTAACATAGATTAGATAAGAGTATAACTTAAAAAGTAAATACAAAGGAATTATTTTCAGCTAGATTGTTATAATGTTGTATTTTTGTATTAAAAAATGATTACCTTTCTTATGTCACGATTTACTGTTTTAACAGTTTTGGTTTGAGAACATAAGAACATAAGAAGTAAACCCCCTAAAAAGTATCGGCTATTTTAATATAAACTTATATTACTCTGCAAACAACTACCTTTAGTAGCTGTAGCTGTTTTAGTAGATGTGTTTTCTTTCAAAGCACTATTTAAGGACAAACTCCTTTTGGAGAAAGGAATGTATAATGTAAATAAATAAACCACACAATGTAAGATAAATCTCATATTTTTATAATATATAATAATATATAAAATTGACTTGGTGTGGTTCTATCAAATCAGTAAGCATATAAAATACTGCATCAAGTAATCATTTCATACAAAAAAGTGGAAAAAATAGTAAAAAATTCTAAAAATCCCTGCAATAAGATACAGAAAGATCTGTATGTAATCATAGCATCAGAAGCTTCCGGCGATTCTTTCCAATTTTTGGTTTTAAGTAAACAAAAAAAGGAAAAAAAAAATCCCAATATCTCTTATCAAAAGAACCTCATCAGAAGGCAACCAAACACACACCAATGTCAAACAACAGACATAAAATGAAAAGTAAAAATAAAAACAAAGTGAAACAACAAACTTCCCTCTTTTTTTGTTTTCGCTCATGTCACCGACGCAGCATCCACAGTGTTGTGCTCCGTCACCTTGAAGAGAAAACATAAAAGTTCAAAAATCAAAACCCTAGCAAACTTAATGTTCACTGTAACTTCAATTACGGCTCCACTGAAACTGAAAATACAGAATTTAACATAACAGGGAAAAAAAAAAAAGCACAGTGCAGACGCACAACACACAAACACAATAATTCCTTAGAAACGTAAAAACCCTAGGCAGAACACTGAGAATGGAAGATCAACATCATACCATCCAAAAGACTGAAAACGTTTTTCGCATCCATTTGCCAGAAGAACATACCGCGTAGAGCAAAACCGGTCAAAATATACTTACATAAATATTTTTTTTATTTAGACAGAAAGAAGAAAAAATGCATCTGGTCTTGAGAGCGAAAGAGGACACGACACCGTTTGGACCCAAGCAAAACGTCGTCGTTTAAGAAACAGGCGTCAACAAAGAAGCGCCACGTGTCACTATGAGAATGCTCATACAATCTTTTATAAGTATAAGAGTTAAAGATAAGAAAGAAGAAGGTAGATAAAATTATAAAATATATTTGTGTTTTATTTAATATTTAATATATATTCATGTTTATATATTATATTATACATGTATATACTATACTATATATAATATATAAAATTATAAAATATTTTTTTTGTTCGCGAACGCTCGATTAGTTCACAAACATGTTCGTGTTCGTTCGATAACTAAACGAGCTTAATTTTATGTTCGTGTTCGGTTCAAATGCTAAACAAACGAGTTGTTATTGAACACGAACGAACTCGAACGAGCTTTGTTCGTGAATGTTTGGTTCGAAAAACAGCCCTAGCTGCAATATCGTGTGACGTTTGGCGCCTAAAATTTAGGAAAGTCCTAATATTTTAATTTGTGACTGTGTGTTCTAACTCCAAACAAAATAGCGACGCATGTCAAGTTACAAAATAATCATACTAAAATGAACCATATGACTTATAGAAGACGGATTTTGGGCAGTTGAGAATCGTTCGTATGGTGTTCGTCGGCAGAACTCAGATTAGACTTTTTCATATGAGCTCGAAATCGCTATTATAATTTTTAGTATTTTTTTATATCCTGTTACATTTAGTAATTGAATCCTTTATATACGCTTCTAAAATTTTTATTTTGTCTTCTATGTTTTATAGTCCTGTGTTACACCATGAAATATTCAAACGATGTAATAAAACTTGACCAATGTCTNGCCTTTTATTTTTCCTTTTTGTGAATATTAATCTCACCTTGAAGTTAACAATGAACCAAAAAGGGAGGAGAAATGACTTTTTATTGCTTTACTCGACTGACAATGTAAAGCCTTCAATGATCCGAGTTTGTGTTGCTTACAGCAGTTCATCAGTGCTTCTACCATTAACAAACACACTAAGCAAATGTTGGGCCTTTTAGTGGTGAAGAAGAAAGCCTAATTGTTCGGGCCCTTATGTTAAATGTGTCACATTATTCTCTTTGGGCCCATTTCGTTTAATCATCTCAATCAATAAACAACATAACATTGTTGTCATATAAAAGCAAGAGTTCCTCTTACGAACTTCAAAGGGTATAAACCATTTAGAGTAAAGCGTAAGGAGTCGGCACGTATTAGAAAAATTTGTTCTGGATGGAAAAGAAATGATGAGGCGGCTTTACTTTTGAAAATGAAATATACATACAATTTACCCTCAGCTCATTTCTTTCTTTAAAAAAAAAAAAAAAAATATATGTACACCTATCTATAATTTCATGATAATTAAAAGATTGAATAAACTAATTTATTTTAAACTGTGTGGCCCTGTCTAAAAATTAATAAATTAAAAAAACCAAATGGAGACTTGACTCGGCCCGGTTGTGCGTGCACAGTTGTGAAATATGCTGACTTAACATCTTTGTCCGTGGAAAACGATTGGAATGTGGGAGCAATGATAAAGACATTTGTTTTCTTTCATGGTTGTCGTTTGTTCGTTTTTTATAATTCATTTTTTTTATATAGATTTTGGTAAGCGCGCCTATAATTCAAAAAGTTTAGTTTTAAATGAAAATTGCATAAAAAAAAAAAGGTACCACAATTGGTTGTAATAGAAGTAGTTTTGGACTATGCAAGTTTACACTCATACCATGAAGTAATTGCTTTCAGTGTTCAAATTAAGTCAAAGTGTAATCTCTTGCTTTTAAGCAACTTCAAGGATTTAATGGTGAAAGAAACACTATCTTTTTACGTTTTATGTGATTGTTATATATTTTATTATGTTATGAGACTTCTACCTTTATGATGGATTCATATCAAGCAATTTCAACCTATTTTTTTGGAAATGCTAACAAACGTATTTGTATTCTTCGAGTCAGCCACATATATGTATTAAGGTTTGACACATTTTAAGCTGCAATTTTTTTATTTTTTTTTTTGCAGACAAAAAAGCAATAAATATTTTATAATTATAGACTAAAAATACCAAGCTTCATTTCAACAATTTCAAGACAATGAAAATGATAATATAAATGCTGGACAAATTTTCTACCCATAAAAGACTAAATTTTATGACTAACACAACCGGTAGACAACTAGTTAATATATATTACCTTTCGAAGTATTTGAATGGCTCGGGGAGCTTAAGCCGGTCGGGCGTTCCGGTATTTGAATGCGTAGAGAAAATGCATCGAATAGATAAGAAAAAAATGTGTATTTTTCATTTTTTATAACATAAAATTACATGTAGAGATTGCAAGAGATAAAAAGCAAATAAAATCAAATATCTAATTATCAAAATAACTACTATCAAATCAATATCATATCAAACCAAATATATTTTACTAAAATAACTAAAACCTATATATCATATCAAATCAATATCATATCATACCAAAAAAAAGAAAGAGTGTCTCACAGTTCGCTCACTCCACTTTATATAATTAACATCGTGTAGACTTGACAAGCCAAACCTTTTTTCAACTTACCACTACTTCGCCACTCACTCTCATTCTGTCTCCTCCAAAGAAAAACCCTAACATCATAATTTTCTCACCGTAAAATGGCGAAAGCTCGTGAGCCCGTCTCCTCTGGAACCTCTTCTGGCGAGGAGGAAACCGAAAATTCTTCGTCTGAGGAAATCGGATCTGAGCCCGAACAGATCCGGAAGACTTCCCCACCGCCGGCCGCCGCGAAAAAACCCCATACCCCTTCCGCCATAATACCCGCCCAGGATTCGGAATCCGAATCCGACAGGAAAGCCAGTAAAAAATCCAAGCCGAAGAAGTCGAGGGCCAGATCTAAAGCCAGGAAGAGGGCCGTCGAGGAGGTTAAGGGGACGGAGCCCACTGTCACTATGAAGTCGAAGAAGAGTAAGAAGGCTGAACCCGAGAAGAAACAACCGTTCCAGAGGATATGGAGCGAGGCGGACCAAATCACGATCCTCAACAAAATTCTGCAGTTCAGGGCCGAGAAGAATTCCGACCTGAATGAAAATTTTGACGCTTTTTTTGAGTTTATCAAGAAGAATTTGCAAATTGAGGCGACGAGGGCCCAGCTGAGGGATAAGATTTCTAGGATGAAAAAGAAGTATACAAACAACAAAAGAAAGGAGCATGATGGTAAAGGAAGAACCTTTACGAGCCAGCATGAGCGGGAAGCCTACGATCTGTCGGAGAAAGTGTGGGGTGCTGAGAAAGAAAATGCCAATGGAAGTGGGGCCGAGAAAGAAAACGGCAATGGAAGTGGGTCTGAGAAAGAAAACCCCAATGGAAGTGGGGCCGAGAAAGAAAACCCCAATGGAAGTGGGACCGAGAAAGAAAATGCGGCTGGTGAGAAAGAAAACATGGTCGAAAAAGGCAATGGAAGTGGTAGTGAGAGGTTTGTGTGGATGAGTGAAAGCTTGTTGAGGGGTTCAGGGGATGTTCCAGCTGTTGAGGACAAGGAGGGGAAAATGGGAAATAAGGAGGACGATGAGGCATTGGAGAATCTGGAGATTGAAGAGATGAAGGTGTACCTGAGGCTTTTTGAGCTGAAGGCTGAAAAGGCAAAGCTTTTTGTGCAGACGATGATCAAGTCCCGGGGCCATTGATGGTGTGCATGCAGGTTAATCAATATCTCTGGTTTATTAGGCTTAATTTGTGATGGAACGGAACCATTGGGTATTTTGGTTTGTGTTTATGATTTGCTAGTTTCCAGCCTTTTGTTACTAAGTCTAGGAATTATGGTTTATTTTGTGATGGGTAGTATCTTACCATTAACCCTGTTTATCCTTTTAGTTTGCTTTTGAATGTCCTTTGTATATGAAGGCTCCTTGTTATTTCTACCTACATTATTAGTATGTTTTCCAATTTCCTATGAGGTATGGCTGGCTTTGAAAGTATATTATAATGTAGGAAATCAGTTTATTATTGCCAACTCGGCCACAAATTTGCGATTTTTGGTTCTACATTTGCATTCAATAACTGATAGTGAATTTTAATAACAGATTGTAATAAGCAGTCAATAACTGATGGTGAATTTTAATAACAGATTGTATTAACTAATTGTAAATAATTATTTGGTGACTAGCAATTTGTATATCAGTTTTGTAAATCGTATGTTAACATGTTATTTTACGCGATTTCTTTTCTCAAGATGAGCCTGTATTGAGCATTTGCATATTTAGAGTTAAACTAAAAATACCTAATCAATAAAACTCTTTTCATATATAGACGGATAACGGATTTCGACACAGTATTCATATGTTTTCGTATATAAGAGTTTCTGCATTTTATGACATATGAAAAGAATGAGGTTTTATTTGAAACATGATATTATATAACATGTCAATCAAAAGTTATGAAATGATAATATGTCATAATAAACTTCATATATGTGTAGTGTGATGAGCTTAATGTTGTGGAAATACAACAATTTCTTCTTAAACAAGTAAATAACCAAAGCAATAAAACAAATAGTAGCTCGTGAAATTCAACACTTGTTATCCGCTTTCGAACATTCCTGGTTCTTGAAGTCGTAGGCCTTCAATCTGCAAAATCAATACTCTTATGAAGCTTTTAAATTGGCTTTCAATTTTTTTTTTTTTTCCAATTCATATATTCTTGAATCTTGATGTGACTTTTATTTAGTACCTTAGGCTGATTAGCAAAAGCAGTAGGAGGCAAGAGCTTAATGCCCTTTTTATTTCTTGCAATAATTCTTCTTGTGATAGGGGACATCATTTGATCAGTTGGGCTAGTGTACCTGTAAAAATTAATTTTTTTTACCATTTTTCATATGCTAAAATGAAAGAGTAAATAAAAAATAGATAAACCGTGTGCAATATTAATATATATTACCTTTCGATGTATTTGAATGGCTCTGGGAGCTTAAGCCGGTCTGGCATTCCTGTTTTTGCAGGATCGGCTGTGGAGGATTTTGTAGGGGTTTTGAGGGTTTTTTCATCCATTGCCAATGCAAATTTGTTTCAAGATAGATAACTTGAGTTTTTGAGAGATTTATATAGACTATGTTTCATTAAATAGAAAAAAAGATAAATAAAATAAAAGAACAGTGAAGAGATGATAAACAAAGTTTATGTGACCGTTTGTGGTGGGCAGTCCCACGGAAACATGTTTTCTGTATTATTATTTTCATCAATTATAATTTATAAACCATAAATTTTATGTGTCCAATATTAGTTGAGGGAAAAAATCTCTGATGAAATGTACGAAAATAAATTAAAAAAACTGACATTTAATCGCAAACTAAAAAATTGAAATTAGAAAATCTTGATATGTGACAGACTACACTACAAATTTTTCTAAAAAAATGTTTATTTCTTTTTCCAAAAAACACTTCAATAGAAAAACCATAAAAACTATTATCATTTCCTCACAAACAACAGTCCCCGTTTACAGAAAACCAACAAATTCTTCTGAATCACTATCGATATCCGAAAGAGAACTTTAGAACTTGGAAGCACCTGGGTCCGGTTCGTACGGGCCAGACGGCACACGCCAAGTGGCGTTCCTGAAGTCCCTGAAGCGCAACAGAGAGTTTCCCCCATATGCTACACCACAACCAGTCACAATCTGACACCTGTCAACTGCCATTGTGGAACATCCCGTTTAATTTTGTTTTCCATCTTCACCAAAAGAAGAGATCAATGAATTCAAATGTTTGCCTGTATCGGTCTCCCAAACTTTTATATTGGAATCGTACGGCCCACCAGTTACGATTTTGTGAGGATCCAAGTGTAAAAGTTTAATGGGCCCTTCGTGTTTACTCAGCTGCTCAACAGTTGGTTCAGAAAATCTCCTGATATCCCACAGCAAGGCTCTGCCGAAGGTTTTGCAGATAGTTTTATAAAAGAAAAAATAATGCATCTCTTACTAAAGGTAAAATGAGAACACATTAATGAACTTTTAAATCTAAAGAATGCGTATATGTAATGTGCATATACATCGAAGAAGAATAAGAATGAGTAGACCACATTTTAGAGTTTGGATAAGACAACTTTCGGTTATGTTTCTTCTGCTAATTTTGATAAGAATGTAAAAGTTAGTAAGCGATGCAGAACGTCATCGGAAAATAAATAAGGCATAGAGAAATAAAATAAAATGCCGATAACTAGAACAATCCGAGAAATTTTATAAATTGAACAACGACGAGCGAACGATCGATGATTGACGAGAAATAAAATTATTCGAACGGCCTGCACGAACAGTCTATCTCGATAGTCGACGAACGAACTTAAATCGGCAACAATGGGTGAACAATTTATCAATGACGAGAATTATTAAGTAATTTCACAAATTGGATTAGTTACACGGAGCCATATTAATCAATCCAAATATCCTACACGACGGCTCGAAGTTTGAAAATAATACAAGTAGACGATAATGCCTACGTCCTTGATTGACACGAAGATCATTAGGACCAAGATATCTAAGGATAATCCGCCTGAGCTAAAATGAGGATTTTTGCCGAGCAAAAATACTTAAAATATAAACGAGGCAAAAATTCTAAAATACGCTAACTCATCTAAAACGAATGGGGCACTGCAGCTTCTCTTGACGGACATGCGTGTTTCCGTGGCGGGTTTCGATATTTTGCAGGAGACATATGATAAGGACCCTTTCTTTGGACGGATTGTGCGTGAGCTCGCAAAAGGTCCTTTCGAGGACTATACTTTGACGAATGGTTTTCTTTTCTGTGGTGTGCGCTTTTGCATTCCCGATTGCAGCCTGCGACAACTGATTGCCGATCTTCATGGTACCGGACATGTGGGCCTTTATCGATCAGTCAAATTGGTGAGCCACTCATATTTTTTGCCAACCCTTGGACGTGACGTCGCGCGGTTTGTGGGACGATGTCGGGTTTGCCAGGTATCAAAAAGGGTCGCGACTAATGTCGGATTGTACCGTCCCCTTCCAATTCCATCTCAATTGTGGCATGTGATTAGTATGGATTTTGTGTTGGGATTGCCACGTACATAGCGGCACTTCGATTCCATTTTCGTGGTGGTGGATCGTTTCTCAAAGATGGTGCACTTCATTCCATGCAAACGTACCACCGATTCCGTTCACGTAGCTTAGTTATTTTTCCAAGAGGTTTACCGCCTGCATGGCTTGCCGTCTGCTATTGTCTCCGACCGCGACACTCGATTTCTGAGTTACTTTTGGAAGAGTTTGTGGCGCATGGCCAACACTCGCCTGGACTTCAGCAGCGCATACCATCCCCAAACGGATGGCCAGACGGAGGTGATCAATCGTTCGTTGAGCAATCTGCTCCGCTGTCTGGTAGGTGACAACCTCCGGAGTTGGGACCAGCGCTTGAGCCAGACTGAGTTCGCTCACAACTCCGCTGTCAGTCAGACCACGGGGTTCTCGCCGTTCCAAGTCGTCTATGTTGTGCAGCCACGTGGTCCGTCAGAGCTTGTCGCTTTGTCGGCGTTTGTAGGGGGTCGATCGGCGTGCTTCGGATCTCATCTAGAAATTGCAACGGAACCCATGCAGCGGCTCGTGTTCGGTTGGAGGCTACGACGGCCTCTTATAAGCTACAGGTGGACGCTCGTCGTTGGCATGTCGAATTCGAGGTAGGCGACTTTGTTTGGGCGGTTTTCACAAAGGACAGGTTCACGGCCCATGAGTACAAGAAATTGTCTGCCCAGAAGATTGGCCCGGTCGAGGTGGTTTAGAAGATCAACTCGAATGCTTATCGCCTCTGACTTCCTTCGCATATTCGCACTTCTGATGTTTTCAAGGTCAAGCTAGTGCCCTTCACTGGCAACAATTCGGACGGAGAAGAGACCAGTTCGAATTCGCGGGCTAGTCCTTCCCGACGGGGAAAGATGTTGGAGACGAGACCGCGATTGCATTCTTGGATAAATATGACCGTCTTCGTATTTAGTTGATTTATTTCCTAATTAATATTTATCATTTTATTTAATTTCTTTAGTTATTTAAGTTGTTTTGGTAATTAAAAAATTATCTTATTAGGGAAGATAAAGTAGGAATAGAATAGTTAGGAGTTTTATATATATTTCTTTCTGTCTGCTTGAGGAGGACAAATTTTATTGAATCAGATTATTGAAATTTAGTATGGATGGAAGTGTATTTGAAAATTTTGAAAATAAAATAAGTGATATAAATTTTATTTCGTATGAGTATGAAAGTTGAATTTTAGGTTGATTTGTTATAAAATTAAGGTGATACAATTCTCAAATTTTAACATATTCTCATATAACTTGCCATAAGTTATTGATGATAATTCGACAAATTGATATGTATTCCTCTTGAAAATTAGAAAGATCTTTGAATAATAATAAAATTTAAAATTTGTAATTAATTCTCAAAAATTAGTTCATAAAAAATTTGAACAATAAGGTAACCGACAATAAATATAAAAAATTTTGAGATTAGTAATATATATATATATATATATATATATATAATGTATAAGGGGATTTGTTGTGTAGTCCAAATTTGGGTTCTAAATTTAAAGTGCAAATAAGCAATTATTAATTACTTACGGGTCAATATTAACTCGGACGTAAATAGAATAGTAAATTATTTATAGTTTAATAAATTACTCAACTACTTAAATTTTTTATTTGGATAATTTATATAAAAATAAATTTATTTTAATTTTTGAAAAAATATATCTTTCAATATTATACTTATTATTCAGATAAATTTTTAAATATAGGATATAATTTTATCAAAATATTTATTTTATCGAACTACATTATATTCAAATCGATTTTTGTATAAAGTTTTTAAAATGACACTTATTTTGAAATAAATATAATGTAATTTATTATCAGTTATGTGCACCGTACGGGTTGTGTACTAATTTTAAATAGACATGTTTTATGTAATTTTGTAATATTTAAATTTCTCATAATATTATAAACTAATATAGGTAAATAATATCACAAATTAATTTTATATTTTTAATTTAAAAATATTATTTAGTGATTATTTTTAATTTATAAATATTAATGAATATCTCATACCGTGTATGATTTGTACTGATTTATATTGAAGGTGCCTCGTAAAAAAAAGGGTCTTATTTGTACCAAAAAAGAAAAAGAGGGTCTCACACTTCGCTAACTCCACTTTATATAATTAACATCGCGTAGACTTGACAAGCCAAACCTTTTTCAACTTACCACTACTTCGCCCCACTCTCATTCTGTCTCCTCCAAAGAAAAACCCTAACATCATAATTTTCTCACCGTAAAATGGCGAAAGCTCGTGAGCCCGTCTCCTCCGGAATCTCTTCTGGCGAGGAGGAAACCGAAAATTCTTCGTCTGAGGAAATCGGATCTGAGCCTTCCCCACCGCCGGCCGCCGCGACGAAACCCCAACCCAAAACCCCTTCCGCCATAATACCCGCCCAGGATTCTGAATCCGAATCCGACAGGAAAGCGAGAAAAAAATCCAAGTCGAAGAAGTCGAGGGCCAGATCTACCAGAAAGAGGGCCGTCGAGGAGGTTAAAGGGACGGAGCCCACTGTCACCAAGAAGTCAAAGAACAGCAAGAAAGCCCGTGAGCCCGTCGAGGAAACCGACGATTCCTCGTCTGAGGACATCGGATCTGAGCCCGAACAGATCCGGAAGACTTCCCCACCGCCGGCCGCCGCCTCCGCTTCAGCGGCCAGATCTAGAAGGAAGAGGGCCGTCGAGGAGGATAAGGGGACGGAGCCCGCTGTCACCAAGAAGTCGAAGAAGAGTAAGAAGGCTGAACCCGAGAAGAAACAACCGTTCCAGAGGATATGGAGTGAGGCGGACGAAATCACTATCCTGAACGGAATTCTCCAGTTCAGGGCCCAGAAGAAATCCGACCTGAATGAAAATTTTGACGCTTTTTTTGAGTTTATCAAGAAGAATTTGCAAATTGAGGCGACGAGGTCCCAGCTGAGGGATAAGATTTCTAGGATGAAAAAGAAGTATACGAATAACAAGAGAAAGGAGCATGATGGTAAAGGAAGAACCTTTACGAGCCAGCATGAGCGGGAAGCCTACGATCTGTCGGAGAAAGTGTGGGGGGCTGAGAAAGAAAACGGCAATGGAAGTGGGTCCGAGAAAGAAAACCCCAATGGAAGTGGGGCCGAGAAAGAAAAC